CTCAAGATCAAGCCCCGACGGCCCTTGAGGAAAGTGTTCATCGCTCATCATCCGTTCAACTCAAGATCAAGCCCCGACGGCCCTTGAGGAAAGTGTTCATCGTTGAACATCCGTTCACCCTTCAAGATTAAGCCCAGAAGCCCTTGAAGATCCGTTCATCCTAAGATCAAGCCCCAACGGCCCCTTTGGATCAACAACCTCAACAAATCCACACATCCGTTCATCCTTCAAGATTAAGCCCAGAAGCCCTTGAAGATCCGTTCATCCTAAGATCAAGCCCCAACGGCCCCTTTGGATCAACAACCTCAACAAATCCACACATCCGTTCATCCTTCAAGATTAAGCCCAGAAGCCCTTGAAGATCCGTTCATCCTAAGATCGAGCCCCAACGGCCCCTTTGGATCAACAACCTCAACAAATCCACACATCCGTTCATCCTTCAAGATTAAGCCCAAAAGCCCTTGAAGATCCGTTCATCCATCAACCTTCAAGATCAAGCCCAACGCCCCTTGAAGATCCATTCATCAACTGTGCATCCTTAGATCAAGCCCCGACGGCCCTTTGGATCAACAACTCATCCACAAACTCACATCCTACGAAGATAGAATCAGAGGATCAAATTACAAAGAGATTGTAACCCCAAAATCATTAATACAAAAAATATATTTTGTACACGTATTCTTGTCTCTTGTTTCAGGAATTATTCGTGTTTACAAATTTGGCACGCTCGGTGGGACAATCTCTACCTCTCATCTCTATCCTCAAATCATCAAAAACGCAAATGGCATCAAGAAAAGGTCAAGCTGTTCCTGCAGTCAAAGCGAAGAACAAGAACATTATCGCCGCAACTGGTGATATTTCGGGCATCACAACCCGAAGTGAAGCAAGAGCTCTTTTTGCCGCGGCTTCCGCCCCTGCATTAACTCTGTCAAAGGAACAAGAGCACCTGAGGCACGAGCCTGTGATCACCCTAGCCTCGCTAAGGGCATCAAGAGGGGAAAGCCTGAGGAAATACTCAGAGTCCCTACCCTCCGACGCTGATTCGAGCGGCAGTACAACCATGCAAGTCATGACCACTGGAGCAACTTCAATCGAGGAGCAACTAGCTCAGATGAATGAAGCAATCACAAAGCTCACACGGACTGCAGAGGAGAAAAACTTGCAAACCGCCGGACTCATCAACCGTCTGGAGGCGCAGCATGGCGTCAAAATGAAACCAAGCTCTCTTCCAACTAAGAAGACCGAAGAAGGCTTTAACCCAAATGCCTACGAACCCATGTCAAAGGCTAGGCATGACTTTGCTTCCTCTTCAAATCTTGGAAAGAAGGTTTCAAACACCGTCAATGACAAAGAACGTAACCTCACCAAAACTCAAAAGAAGTTGAAGGAGCATGGTTACGGAGTTGACAACAACAAAGCCGGACTTGGCTTCACACCAAATGCACCCGTGAAGATTTCAAGCAAAGTGAAGAAAGCTAGCGCTCAACACATCAGCGTGAGCATTGAACAAGACCAAAAAGAGCCTAAACCCGCCCCTCGACCGTCGGTCTTCGATAGGATGAGCCATTCAAGCTCCAGAATTTCAGCGCTTAATCGCATTGGTAGTCAAGGCCGAACCTCTGTCTTCAAGAGGCTTAGCGTGCCAACATCCCAAAGCTCTGTTTTTGAAAGGTTGTTAAAGCCTAAGAAACAAAGCAACACAGTTATCTCTCCTCTGCGACCATCAGCTTCGGAAAGATTTGAAGATAATGAGAAGCCTTTTGGAAAGAGGAAGACAACACCAAAGGAAGAAAAGTTCGATGGGTTAGCAGAAAAAGGCGACGTTCAAAGCTTGATTCCTTCAAGGATGAAGCGCCAAGCAATCCTAGAGGTCGACACAAAAGGACCACTGAAGGTAAGGAGGCGCATCGTCGTCCACACTGGCAAATCTTCATGCCAACAAACCCAAGAGGACGGCACTGAAGATGAAATCCCTAAGAAAGATGTCACTTCTGGCTCTTTCGACTCAAAGTCTTCACCTCGACTGTTGGGGGCATGCTCCAAGTCAAGTGAAATTGAAGGATGGACTCATGTCGCTTCGAAGAAACTGCACGAGAAACATATGTCTTCTCCACAAGTGCACCAATCAGAAAGGGGGGAAAACAGCTTTCGCCAACCTCCAAAGCAATGTGAAAATGTTGAAGATAAGAAAATTTCAACACAAAGATCGTTCATGCGGGATCTTTTCTTCCTCGAAGACTTATTCAATTTCTCGATCAAGACTCCTTGCTATGAAGATTGTGAGGAATGCCTTTCGAAGATCGCTGCGAAGAAATTGGACAAGCAGCAACCATCTTGTCCACAAGTTTATCAGTCGAAAAGGGGGCAAAACAGCTGTTGTCAACCTCCAGAACAATGTGAAAGTGTTGGAGATAATGAAATTTCGACACAAAGATCGTCCATCCCCATCACAATGTGCGACCTCTTCCCAGAAGACTTCTTCAATTACTCGGTCAAGGCTCCTTCCTATGAAGATTGCGAGGAACGCCTCTCCCAGATCGCTTGACAAATCCACAACAACAACCAAAGCTCCTCGTTCGCACGAGCCTAAAAGGCGACAACCAAAGCTCCTTGTCCGCACGAGCATAAAAGGCGACAACAAATGCTCCTGGCCCGCAAGAGCATAAACTGTGTACGGCAAAATCATCATCAAAATCATCATCAAAATCATCATCAAAACCATCACTCATTTGAACTACGTTATGACTTGATCCCTCCTCAACCAAGGGTACGTAGGCAACTTGAAACTTCAAAACTTCAAGTACAGTCACATAAAAATAAATAAATAAATGTTTCATTAAAGAAAGTCAATTTTATTACAAAAGAAAAGAAAAAAAAAAATACATATGTTACTATATATATATATATATATTCTCTACAAAAAAAAAAAAAAAAAAAAAAATATACATGTTAAAGTGGGTTTGCCTACACTTAAGACCCATGCCAACTCAAAGAAACAGAAGTTGAAGTCCACAAAAAGGAGCAGCCCAAATCCAGGCCCAGCTCTCTCTCTCTCCCGAGTTTCTGAGCGAGTGAGCGTTTACTTTTGTAAGCCGTCGAAGATTTTGAGATTGTAGATCTACGACTCAGACGTCGCTCGCGGCTCTGCAACTCCACAATCTTCGCTGTCTCTCAGCTCCTCGCTTTCCTTCAACTAGCCGATATGGGGAAGCTCTGGGTTGAAGTGTGCCTGATATCCGCCAGAGGGCTTAGGCGTTCGTATTCGTTGTGGAAGCTCCAGTGGTATGCTGTTGGGTGGACTAACCCGAATAACAAGTACTGCACCAAGATCGATGCGTCTGGAAATGAAAATCCGGTGTGGAGAACCAAGTTTGCTACCTTGATTGAGGGCTCGGAGGCAGACTTGCAGGATCTGGCGCTGCAGGTGGAGGTGTACAGCAGAAGAGCCTATCTTCCTCCGGGAAAAGCTTCAGGGGACGGCAACTATTGTCCTGAGAGAGTTTCTGGCTAAGCATAACAAGAACTCTGAGGCTCCGAGGCATGGAGCTGAAGAAGTTGGGAGCTACCAGTTGCGAAAAAAAATAAATAAATAAATAAACAAAATAAAAAATAAAATAAAATAAAATAAAATAAAATAAAATAAAAAAAAAAAAAATAAATTCCAACAAACCTCAAGGCCCGTGACAAAACGTCCACCAGATCCAAATGGAATACACCACAAGCTCAAAGCCTCGTCTCTGTCCTCTCGCTTCAACTTTCTGGCTCACACAGTTGTGGTATGCTTCCTTTCCAAAACCAACAAACCCATCTACAAATCCAACCCAAGCAGCCATGTTTCAAAAGCCTACACTGGTCTCGGCCGGATCCAAGGCAGATTCACTGCTCTCTCTCTCATGGGTATTCACCGGAAACCCATTCACCGCCGTCTACAGAAGCGCCGGCAAACCACCTATTGCTTCGGTCCAAACCACTGTTGAGACAATGCCCACTTTTCTTCTTCCTTTTATGTGTATTTTATTTTTAGAAATATAATGGCAGTGAGTTTTAGTGCTGCTACTGTGGTGGGTTTTCTTCTGATTACGCTTCTGTCACTGAGTGGCGAGCGAGTCAACTCGGAGCCGATTCAGGACTACAAATCCCTCACACCTCCAGCATCACCGCCGAGGAACCAAAACAGAAACCCAAGTTCAAAAGTGAGTGACGCTCCCGCAGGAGGGGAGTGGTCCCGTGAAGTGAGGGAGTTGGGTGTCTTGAGAAGTTCTCGATCTCATCCTAAGTCGCCTGACCTCACCAAGGTCACCATCATCAAATTCCGCCGCCAAATCCATGGACCCAAAAGCCGTGAAATCGGAGCTGGTCCTGATTCTCGACTATGGCTCCCAATACACCCACCTCGCCTCCGACGCCTTCCCCAAGAGAAACCCGAGTGGGTCATGTCCGGGTCTCCCCAGTCAATTCTAAGCGGAGTCGGGAGCTGGTCGAGCAACGGAAGCCCGACGGGCTCGTCTTCCCAGGTGCCGTCCCCACCTCCGACACTACTACCACCCTCGCTCCTTTCGATCTCAAGAGTTTCATCAGACCTGAAAGTGGCCCCAGAAAACTTGGATCTTCTAACCAGCTTCAGGAGAAGAAAGATTCCCCTCAAAAAAATGTCGTCTTCTTCGATATTTGCAGATCTGCAACAGCAGCCACCACGAAGTCCTGGGCTTCAGCAAGGCCTGAATTTTGATGAACGTTGGTCCTCTTCACGACCGGCTTGCAACTCGTGTCCTGACCTGCGACACCCCACCTCTCCGCAGCAGCGATAGCTACAGATCCCCACCTGCAGATCGAGACCAGATCATACAGCTTAGAGAGGTTGTTGTGCTCTCTGATGAAATTCATTCTAAAAGTGAAACAAGAAGTTGAAGCTGAATTTTTCAGTGGTGAAAATCAGAGCTGGGGTAGTGCGGAAACAAATCTGCCAGCTCTATCTCCAACTCCATCTCCAGCTCAAAATCATGCTCGGAGCGGATCAGCCGGTGATTCTGCACTTGCTTGATATTCCACCAGCTGCTGAGGCTTTGAATGGTGTCAAGATGGAGTTGGTGGACGCCGCTTTCCCTCTGCTTAAAGGTATTGTTGCTACAACTGATGTTGTGGAGGCATGCACTGGAGTCAACATAGCCGTCATGGTGGGTGGCTTCCCAAGGAAAGAAGGCATGGAAAGGAAAGACGTCATGACAAAGAACGTTTCCATCTACAGGTCCCAAGCTTCTGCACTGGAAAAGTATGCAGCTCCTAACTGCAAGGTTTTGGTTGTTGCTAATCCCGCAAACTCCAATGCGTTGATCTTGAAGGAATTTGCACCATCAATTCCTGAAAAAAAAAAAAAAAAAAAAAAAAAAAAAAAAAAAAAACATCACCTGTGTGACTAGACTAGATCATAACAGGGCCTTGGGCCAGGTTTCTGAGAAATTGAATGTTCAAGTTTCTGATGTTAAGAATGCTATTATCTGGGGTAACCACTCATCGTCGCAGTATCCTGATGTCAACCATGCAACTGTCAAGATACCATCTGGGGAGAAAGGTGTCCGTGAGCTTGTTGCTAATGATGCATGGTTGAATGGAGAATTCATTTCCACTGTTCAACAACGTGGTGCTGCAATCATCAAGCTCCAACGCATGCCCTCTTGAATGAGGAAGGAGTTGACCTCCCAAGATGGGTTCAGTCCATAGTCAAAGAGGAGTGGACTTCAGAGGTTTTCGATCTTGAGCTCCCCATTCTGGCCAGCATGATCAAAATTAACGAAGAGCTTCATTGACCGCTGTCAAACGACTAGCCGGTCTTCAAACTCGACGCCTTACACTCTGCCTCAAGCTCTGGCTGCTTCTGCACCTCCGCCATGGTTGCTGCCTTTGAATGTGCTCAACAAAATCAAAGTTTGTCAACACACACCCAAAGATCTCCTCCGTCTTCTCTCGGACTCGCCTGGGTTTTCACCCACGAACTCAGTCTTGCAGATGGCCATATAAAGAAAAAAAAAAAATGATGATGCGGGGAAGCATCTTTCAAAATAATAATTAAAAAAAAAAAAAAAAAAAAAAAAAAAAAAGTGGTAATGATGATGCTGGAAGCATCTTTCAAAAGAATAATAAAAAAAAAAGCAATGATGATGTTTATGTAATCATGTGAAAATATATTTATATATATATATATATAATAAAAAGAAAGAAAAAAAAAACGATGGTGGTGCTTCTGGCACCATCTGAAATATATATATAAATGAATGGTGGATCAGCGCCACCGAAAGCAAAGAAAAGAATAAAAAAATTGATGATGGACGGTGATGTATATGTTTTATCTGTATTTAGCATAATACACTAAATAAAACAAAGCATGTTCATTAATTTTCGAGAAATTACAAATGTGTACAAAAAAAAAAAAAAAAAAAAAAAAAAAAAAAAAAAAAAAAAAAAAAAAAAAAAAAAAAAAAAAAAAAACAAGTTGAAACTTTCACAAAGGATGTGTACGTGAAGCCCCACTACGTGGCAACACTCTCAGAGCAGAAGGCATCGGAGCAAGAGGCATCGGAGATAGAGCATTCGAGGCCTCAATACTTGGCGGAACGCTGGATGACCCAGGAAAGAGGTGCCTCTGGAAGAAAGCTGCAAACCGTTGACGATCATCAAGCTCATCAAGCTTCCTCTTCATGCCCGACGAATAGTTATTTGCAAGCACATGCAAACTTCTATTCTCGTACTTAAGCTGTTTAATCTCCTGCTTAAGATCTTCCACCTCTGCCATCAATGATTCCACTTGACGGGACCGAGCAAGCAGGCGTTGGCCCATGTTGGACACAGAGCCCGCACACTGAACACTAAGAGCGAGGGACTCTTGGACGGCCAACTCATCGGACCGTCCTGACAGCAGCCTACTATCTTTTGGAGTAAGGAGGTTCCTAGCTACTATTGTAGCTGTTGTGGCGTCCTGCATCATGGAGTCTTCACCTGTAAGAGGACCGTTAGAAGATAAGAAAGAAGGGCACCATACATTACCTTGAAGCGGCGCAACCGGATCACTGCTGAGACTCAATTCTAAGCTAAGGTTCGATGGGTTAGCCATTTTTCAAAGGTGTTAAAAGAGATGGGTGGATGGAGTTAAAACTCAAAAGGCCGGAGATGATTTTCAGGAATGAGCAACCTTCAAAGTGTGCATGTTAGAGGTGATCAATACCTCTATAAAAAGGAAGAGGCACTCGTTCAGAAATCAAAGGGCCGCTTATTCAAAAGTGAAGAGACATCGTTCTGCAAATCTCAAAAGCTGGATTTTCCGGCGTAAGTTAGGCGACCCTTTCTCGGCTTTCCAGAAAACGCGTTCAACTTTGTCAAAAGATCTCCGACAAAGTTGAAAACACGTGGAGACTGGCGACGCTTTCGCGGCTTTTCAAAGCACGGGTGCCACTTTGTCAAAAGATCACGTGGAGGTCGTCATCGCAGCTACACATCTTTAGCTGACAAGCGCAAAAGTTCGGCGACGCTTTCTCTGCTTTTCAGAAAACGCGTGCAGCTTTGTCAAAAGAGGCGCTCATTCAGAAATCGAAGAGTCGTCACTATTTCAAAAAGCCGGATTTGCGGGATCAAAACGTTTGTCGACGAGGGTAAAAGAACAGTACCACCACTTGTTATTGGGAAATCCCTATATATGTCGACCTTCATCTTTTATGGCAAGGCAAACCTGCAAACAAGAAAAAAAAATGCCCAACTCTTCCTCACCTCCGAGAGTACACTCCCAGCAAAGCATCTCAAAATGCTCAGTTTTCTTCCTCTCCGGGAATACCCTTGCAAACAAATGACACCAAGGCAAAAGTATCTCATATCATCAAGGGCGAAAGCAAAGGTATCTCATATCATGCTTTTCCCCTATCTTTTCCTTTGCCCTTGTTCTCACCTGCCAGGACAAGGACAGAGAAAGCAATATGTCGGAACCTCCACTCAAACTTGCGCTGCCGCCAAGAAGTGATGGTCCATTCAAATGCAAGGTTTGCATTCAACTCCTGCATCAGGAACAAATAGTACAAGAGAAGATGCTAAACCTGCATAAGGAAATACCACTTCTGCAAAGGGGAGCAAGTAAGGCAAGTGAAAATGATGCATTGAAGCATGTGGAGACAAGCTACGACTGCATATGCTGAGCTATCCTCTAACCCTCTTCAATACGAATTGGAGAGATTGAACAAAGAAACAGAAAAAAAGGAGTAAGCTCAGACCTTCGGGGAAGACCAAAAGAATCCTGCTGCCCAGTTCAAGAGTAGCACAAAGGAAAATCAACGATAGGGGGAGACCAAAAGAATCCTCCAGCCCAGTTCAAGATCAAGCCTCGATGGCCCTTGAAGAAATCACAAGTCCGATTCAAAATCAAGTGTTCACCACCCTTGAATCAAATTCAACTCCAGATCAAAGGAGTAAGTTCAAACCTTCGGAGGAGACCAAAAGAATCCTCCAGCCCAGTTCAAGATCAAGCCTCGATGGCCCTTGAAGAAATCACAAGTCCGATTCAAAATCAAGTGTTCACCACCCTTGAATCAAATTCAACTCCAGATAAAAGGAGTAAGTTCAGACCTTCGGGGGAGACCAAAAGAATCCTCCAGCCCAGTTCAAGATTAAGCCTGCGGAAAATCAACGATTGGAGGAAACCAGAAAATCTTCCAGTCGAACTCAAGATCAAGTCTCGATGGCCCTTGAAGAAATTTCCAGCCCAATTCAAGATCAAGCCTCGACGGCCCTTGGGTTGACATCTACATTAAGGGACTTCAAAACGCATCTTCTACATGTGACAAGCACATGTCTACGACACGCCTTGAAGTGGGGGCATTTGTAGACATCAAAATTTCGGTGAAATAAATGTTGACCAAAAATTAAAATTTCAACGCTCACATATCACATAAATTTTACATGTAGCGTGTGACTCAACGAAAAATCGAAATAAATTGGAAAAGTCATCAAATAGGACACGTGTCAATACCTGGCAGAAATGATTTATTTCATCTGATTAATTAAATCCAAAAATCAAGTTTTGGAATTCTATAAATAGGAGGCCAAAGACATTCATTTGAGGGGAAGAAGAAGGAGAAGGAGAAGAAGGGAAAGAAAGGAAAAGAAGAAAAGAAGGAAGGAAGAAAGAAAGAAGCCTTGAAACTCTAAAGCTCTCAAGCAAATCCCGAAGGATCAAGAAAGCAATCTTCGTTCTTCGTCAAATCCACCTTCAAGATCAAGCCCCGACGGCCCTTGAAGAACTTCCACCAACTCAAGATCAAGCCCCGACGGCCCCTTGAAGAAAGTGTTCATCGTTCATCATCCGTTCAATTCAAGATCAAGCCCCGACGGCCCTTGAAGAACTTCCACCAATTCAAGATCAAGCCCCGACGGCCCTTGAAGAACTTCCACCAACTCAAGATCAAGCCCCGACGGCCCTTGAGGAAAGTGTTCATCGCTCATCATCCGTTCAACTCAAGATCAAGCCCCGACGGCCCTTGAGGAAAGTGTTCATCGTTGAACATCCGTTCACCCTTCAAGATTAAGCCCAGAAGCCCTTGAAGATCCGTTCATCCTAAGATCAAGCCCCAACGGCCCCTTTGGATCAACAACCTCAACAAATCCACACATCCGTTCATCCTTCAAGATTAAGCCCAGAAGCCCTTGAAGATCCGTTCATCCTAAGATCAAGCCCCAACGGCCCCTTTGGATCAACAACCTCAACAAATCCACACATCCGTTCATCCTTCAAGATTAAGCCCAGAAGCCCTTGAAGATCCGTTCATCCTAAGATCGAGCCCCAACGGCCCCTTTGGATCAACAACCTCAACAAATCCACACATCCGTTCATCCTTCAAGATTAAGCCCAAAAGCCCTTGAAGATCCGTTCATCCATCAACCTTCAAGATCAAGCCCAACGCCCCTTGAAGATCCATTCATCAACTGTGCATCCTTAGATCAAGCCCCGACGGCCCTTTGGATCAACAACTCATCCACAAACTCACATCCTACGAAGATAGAATCAGAGGATCAAATTACAAAGAGATTGTAACCCCAAAATCATTAATACAAAATATATATTTTGTACACGTATTCTTGTCTCTTGTTTCAGGAATTATTCGTGTTTACATGACGTTTCTCAACATTTTGGGCATTTTGGAGGTTAAGCTAGCACATTTTGAGGAAGATTCCTCTAGAGGATTGTAGGAGACGTCTTCAGCTTTCGAATAAGATCTTTTTGGAACAAATTAGAGTTGATTTGGTCGGTCAAAAGTTTTCTTTTTCTGAGAAGACTGAATTTTAGTTCAAATAGGAAACCTTTATTTTCTGTTTTATTATTTTATTATGTTTCCTAGTATTACTCTAGGACCTTTTCTAGGTAGGGTTTTATTTTCGAATAGTATAAATAAAGCTTTTTAGCCATTAGAGTTTTATTAGGAGAGACAAAGAAAGGGGAAGAATGCATTAGGTTTTGAGAGCTTTTGGATTGAAGTTTATTTTCTAGGTGTTTTATATCCTTGTTTGTAATAATATTTTGTTTATGATTGTTAGTAACTAATTTCCATTTGCTAGGGCGAGGCCACTGAGCCTTAGCAAGAATATGTAGTTTCTTTTCAATTTGCTTATGATATTATGCATGCAAGTTTTGAATTATTAATCACCATGTTTATACTGTCTAGTTGTCTTAATGCTTAGCTACCATTAGGATCTTTAGAAAAGTAATTTGATGCAATTTTGGTAGGAGGTCGGTCCTTGAAATTGACTGAAGGCTTCTTGTGATTAATATGTGCAAGTTCACTTAGGATGAATACGACGTCTTAAGGGTTGTACAGTTTTTCAAATGGTTTCACAAAGCTTAATGAGTCATGCATGTTTAGATTTGATCTAAATACCACAGATGGATTGTATGTTTGATATATGCTCTATGTTAGGGGTCCAAGTAGGCATATATTAGGAAAACCTAACCTTCAAAAATGCATGAGTAATTCATAAGTAATTGGAAGAACTATATAGGATTGTTAAGGTGACGGCAGAACCCTAGGCTTTTACAATTTAATTTCAAAAACCGTTTTTCTTTTAGCTTATTTTATTTTGTCATTTTATTTAATTATTTTCTATTAAATTCGTTTTTATTATTTTAAATAAAAAATCAACTTTTTTTCAAAACTTTGTTTTAAGTAATTAATTAAGATTTGATTTGATATAAATTATTCATTCAATCCCTGTGGAAAACGACCTTACTAGAGCATCTATACTACAATTACCTTGTACTCTTGCAAGTATTTTAGTGTTCTTATCCCTACTTTTGCAGATGGTAAAATCCCTATCATACTTATTTTCAAATTAAGAGGGTGGTCCTATATACACATGAGCCAGGAAGGAAGAGTTCCAGTATGCTGGGCCAATTGTGGGTAAGTACGACAAGGATACCTACATAGAAGAGAAAGAAACAAGAGGAGCTAAGGCCATTTCCAATGGAGATGGCTTAAGGTTCAAAAGCCAAAAAATGGTCTAATTTGTCCAGAAGCTCACCTCCAACTGATGACTCGGCTATAATTCTTTAGAGTCCACTAGGCCATTATTTGGCCAAAAGGGCATCAGGCCGGCCATTTGTAGTTCCCCTCTCAGCCTCTTTTTTGGGACCCAACTCTTCAGTTGCAATAATTGATTCAAATTCACGACTAGATTTGAAACCATCCAAAGTAGGTTAATTAATTAACCAACAAATTTAAAGTATAAACTTAATACTAATAAATTATTGAGGGGGCTATATTTAGCCCCTTCAATTCGACATAGTATATGAGTATGATCTAACACTGTTTATGTAAAAATAATTTTTTATAGGCTATATATCTGGATGAGGCTACGTTTAGCCCTTTTCGATTGGAAATGGCCTAAAAGACCTATTACTGCTTACTACTGCCATGAAAAAGTATTTCATTTGTGCCTTGTCCCCAATGGGCTTTGTTTGTTGATTGAATTGTACTTAAGGGAGGAATGAGTTATCAGTTGTCAATATCATTGAATCAATCCACGCCCAATCTCATCCAAATTTCTAATTGCATCCTCAACCTTTTTAGGCTCTAAGAATCTCAAGATTTTCGAAACTCATAGTCCACATTCAACTCGCAAACCCGTCCAACCCAAACCAAAACTAGTTGGGTTGGGTGAGGCGGAGTATGGTCTTATCAAATCATGGACCAACTATGATGGGTCAGCTTACGGTTTAGGTATTGATCCGACTCACCCTAACCTACAAAATTGTATAAAAGTAAATTACCAATTTCATCCCTTCCAAAATGATTGGATTAGAAAGAAATACTTTTCTTTATGTCTACCCCATTCTAGTCTCCTAAAAAAATATTCTCTCCTACTTTTAATATATGTACATCGAATTTAGAGGGTACGTGGACTGTGACGCCACTTTATATGTTTTGTTAATACAATTTCGTTGCTTAATCCTTGCAAACGATGAAAATGGTACCATGAAACATGTAATTACCCACTCAATATATAAATAGGGATAAATATGACCAAACACTTTTTCACTTCCTACATACTTTTGTTTAATTTTGTTAATTTTTTATTTATGATTTATTCAATCCAATAATCAAAAATAAACAAAGCTATGTAGCAAGATAAAGATGGTGTGTGAGTCACTAATCAAATTTGAATTTAATATTTGGAAACAATACATTTATACCATCTAGAATACTTCTCAAGAATGAATTCTTGCTGCTGTGTTTGTTCGAGGTTATTATGTTTGTATCTAACAAATTATTATTGAATGGATCCTTACGGTTTTAACAAGAATGATAAACCAGTTGGCAACGCACTATGCAAGAACAGCCACATAAGCTCCATCGCCACCACCTGCAAGTATTACTAAGTCCAGGCACATTTGTATCTCTACTAATCACAATTATCTAATATAAATAGCTACTTAAATGTTAGACTAACACATCTTTTTTACTTCCAAGTTCTTCTTTCAACCAAATTAAAAGATGGAGAACCAAAAAGGTGCAGCAATGCATGTCCATATATCTTCTTGGTCTTACTTTGATCATGTTTTACTTATCAAGGGCAGTTGCACAAGAGGAACAAAATAGCCTCCAAACTTACATTGTTTTTCTTGAAAAGCCGGCCTCCTCGAAATTTTCTGTGGAATCAAATTTAGACAGTTGGTATCAGTCATTTTTGCCTGAAACTACTGCAAACTTAAACCAGCAAAGGATCGTTCATGCATACCGTAGTGTGGTCACTGGATTTGCTGCTAAACTGACACCAGAGGAAGTGAAAGCAATGGAAAACAAAGAAGGGTTTTTGTCGGCTCATCTCGAGAAAACGGTTCCTTTGCTAACTACTCATAGTCCTGACTTCTTGGGGTTACACCAAGGATACGGACTATGGAAACAAGCAAATTACGGTGAAGGTTTGATAATAGGACTCTTGGATACAGGCATTGGACCCGATCATCCTTCATTCAGTGATGAAGGAGTATCCCCGCCTCCAGCTACATGGAAAGGCAAGTGCGACTTCAATGGAACGGTGTGCAACAACAAGCTCATTGGTGCACAAAATTTCGTTGGTGCAGAAGAAGGGAATATTACAGGAAATCCATTTGATCTCGTTGGCCATGGCACCCACACTTCTAGCACCGCTGCTGGAAATTTTGTGGAAGGTGCCAGCGTGTTTGGAGAGGCCAATGGCACGGCTGTTGGCATGGCACCTTATGCTCACTTGGCAATGTACAAAGTCTGTTATGGGATTGGTTGTAGGTATGGCGACATCCTAGCTGGTCTTGATGCCGCTGTTGAAGATGGCTTGGACGTGCTTTCCCTTTCACTTGGAGGCCCCTCACTTCCTTTCTACGATGATGTCATTGCAATTGGTGCATTTGCAGCAATTAAAAAAGGAATATTTTTCAGCTGTGCAGCTGGAAATTCTGGTCCCTATTATGAGTCTTTATCAAATGAGGCACCATGGATTTTCACAGTCGGAGCAAGTACCACTGACAGAATACTAAAATCACAAGATGAGAAACTCAACACCTATGGCATAATCGGAGATGCACTTGCTCCCAAGGTAGCTTCCTTTTCGTCAAGAGGACCAAGCCTTTCAAGCCCTGGAATTCTGAAACCTGACATCATTGGACCCGGCGTTGAAATCCTAGCAGCATGGCCTGAATCAGTAGACAATGCCACACTTCCTAATCCTAAGGCAACATTTAACATAATTTCTGGTACCTCAATGGCAACTCCTCACCTAAGTGGCATTGCAGCTTTGATCAAGAAATCACACCCTGACTGGTCTCCAGCTGCAATCAAATCTGCCATCATGACAACCGCTGATGTACAAAATCTTGCAGGCACACCGATCGTGGATCAAGATCTTACACCTGCGGACGTTTTCGCAATTGGTGGAGGCCATGTCAACCCTGCAAAGGCAAATGATCCGGGTCTTATCTTCGACATAAAACCTGAGGATTACTTTCCTTACTTGTGTGGATTGAATTACAATGAGACAGAAATAAAGATCATCACACAACAAACAGTGAAATGCTCTGAAGTCGGGGTCATACTAGAAGCACAGCTCAATTACCCTTCATTTTCTATTAAAGCAGGCCCGAACCACACTCAGTCTCAGTATTATACACGGACTGTGAAGAACGTTGGCCCAGCTACGTCAACTTACAACTTGGATCTTTTAGTACCACATCAAATGGGAATGAGTGTGAATCCTCAGGTGCTTACATTCACAGAGGTTAACCAGGAGATTACATACCATGTTGAATTTATCGCACAAGATGGTGCTGGGAAGGATGGTGTTCCATACGGTCAAGGGTACTTGAGGTGGTTTTCTGATAAGCATAATGTTACTACCCCTATAGCTATCATCTTTGACACCCCGCAAGATTAAGATTTGTTGCTTTAGATGCTATAAGCAGTCATCCTCAAAAAAGAATGTGCGCCGTCCAATTCAAACAAATGTTCATCCATGATGCATTATGAAATAAAACATGGCGTTTATCCATGGTTGTTGTTCTTCTTCTTCTTATTATTATTACTACTGGTCGTATGCCCACACATTCGTGTGTAATTAAATTTGTCTATTATTTGTTATGAAGTTATTTATGTCACTTTTTTAAAGAAAAATTAAAAATTAAAAATTAAAAAAAAAAAAAAACGAAATAAAATTGAGCGTGGAAATTTTATTTTTTATTTTTTTGCTGGGGGGGTGTTTGAAGTGGGAAAAAAACCTTCTTTATCTAAAATTTTTTACTTTAAATTGTGTGTTATATTTAGGAAAAATTACACTTAGAGTATATTTTCAATACTTAATTATATATTGCAACTACACTTTTTAAACATTTCAAGGAAGGACATTTTTTAAATCCACATAAGATGACATCATGTCATGTTTTTCCGTTAGAAACAGAGTTATGTATTTGCTCTTCCTTTTTTTGTTAAATGTGATTGGCAGTGATTGACGGAATTTACTCTCTTTTATTCGAATCATTCAATTTTTATTTTCGTTTCTCTGCTATTTTTCTTTGTCTCTTAAGTTTTTATGTTCGATTTATATCTCATCATCTCCCTCAATTATCTCTTGCCATAATTTGTATTTTTATCATTCAAGTTTTCTTCGAAGGTAAGTTTATCTTTATGAATTTATCTGTTTCGACTTTTGATTTTTTGAAGTGTTGTGTGTTTTTGAATTTATTCGGTTTAGATTTTGAAACGAGTCTCTGATTTTTCAGTTTTTTATTGGTCGCATTGAGTTTTTTTGGATTGCTTTTGTTTTTTGCAGGCAAGGTTTTTTAGTTTTGAAGATTTTGATTCAGTTTTTATTTGATCGAGTGCTCGGCGAAGGTGATTTTTCGTTGTGCTGCTTTTGTTTTCATTGAAGTTCCTTTTGTTTTTTGTAGTATAGTTATCATGTATATTTGTTAGAATTGGAATGGATTACAAGTTAGTTTAGTGTTTGATGAGGGTTATTAATATTTATGCAGTATCTGCTTATAGAATCGTGCAGAATTAGTTGGCATAAGTTTTTTTTTGGGGGGGGGGGGGTGTGTAGCATCAGTTTTATATAACACAAAGAATCGCTTGGCATTGGTTTTGAAAAGACAATGGATTAGCAACTAGTTAATGGATTATTTCATTATTTTTGGCATTTTGTGTAGCATCTGTGTTACAGATATTTGTGCAGTATCAGCATTTATACATTTTTTTATTATCATTTGTGCAGCATCAATTTTACCGAATATTCTAAGAGTTTTCTCATTTCTGAAAGCTTTTGTGGAGTATCAGTTTTTATTGATTATTATATTTACATTTTAAAATGCATATATATATATATATATATATCTAATTATTTATGTGCAACATTAGTTTAATTTTATGTTTTTTTTTTTTTGGTGTAGATCATGTCCATTGTTAAAGCTTTAAAGTTTGTATATGAAAATTGTGCAGTATTTGTGCCGCTTTATCCGCATGCTAGTTATGAGGATTTGTGTGGACAATTAACTTTAAGGTTTTCAAGTTTGTCATCAAGAGGCTTTTTGTTGAAATACTCATTATACGGAGGCGAACCAAATTGTTTATTAGACTGCAATGAAGATATTCAGACACTTCTATTGGTGAATAAATTGATTTCAAATCCTATTGTTGACATTTATGTTCATGCTAAGAAGGAGATGTCTATTGTTTCTACTAGTAGTGTGTCATCTTGTTGCCTAAGTGAAGCTACTAGTATTGGAGATGAGAAACAATATTTGGGTAAGTATGGCTCTTATGGACCTCACCATTATGCACGAAATGAATTGCAGTGTTATATTTCTTATGAGGGTTAAAGTTATGAAGATGGTGCAATTGAGTTTCATAAAAAATTTACAGAATACTCTATTGAGGTTGATTTTGATTTGAAGTTCACTAGGTTCACTTCCATCTTTCTTCTTCGCTTTCTCATTCACAAGAAGAGGTATACTCGCTGGTTTAAAATCATCCTTCAAGCCAAATTTATCCCTAAGAGCAAGAGCATACTTCTTCTAGTTTACGAATATACTAGTTCACCTCAGACAATTCCCATTCCAAGGAACTGATAGAGCAATCCAAGATCAATCATTTCATATTACTTCATCATATCCTGTTTGAATTCTTCAATCGACATTGCATAGCTTCCAGTATACACAATGTCATACACATAGATGGATACAATCAGTGATTCCTCATTTCTCAGTTTGATATATAATGTGGCTTCACTAGGACTCCTTTGAAACCCACAGCTTAGTAGATAACTATTTATCTCATCATACCAACCTTTGGGTGCTTGTTTTAGCCCATAGAAAGCCTTCTTTAATCTATACACCTTATCTTCAGTTCCAGACTTTACCAAACCATCAGGTTGATTAACATAAACCTCTTCTTGTAAAACACCATTAAAAAATGCAAACTCACATCCAACTCATGTAGCTTCCAATTTCTCTGTGCAGCAAGAATAATCAAGGTTCTGATTGTGTCAAGCCTTGCAACTGGTGCAAGGGTTGCGTTGAAGCCAATACCAGGCTTCTATGAATAGCCTTTTGGCAACCAATCTAACTTTATGCTTCTGAATTGTACCATCCAAGTTCAATTTGGTTTTGAAAACCTATTTTACACCAATCATTGGTTTCTCAGTAGACCTATCAACAAGCTCTCATGTCTGATTCTTTTCTTGTTCAAAACCTTCTGGTTTAGCAATGCACATATTGCATCTAGCATAGACCTCACTCAGAAAAATAAGTTTTTTGGAAAAAAAAACGAAAAAAAAAAAAATGAAACACACTAAGATGAACAACGGTTCTGTAAAACTTGGAGAGTACATTGCTCTCTTTCTATTCCTCTTGGATTCGATTACAGAGGCATTCGATCACACACAGATACATAAGGTGTGAATGAAATATACAGAACAAAATATAATCAGTTAGGAGCCACATGCCTCACTCGTGCTCACGTGCTCCACATGGGACTACTTAAAAACTTAACAAATTTGGACAGATGGCACACTCTCCATTGTTTAGATGTTTTAATCCTAGTTATCAATTACATTCAACTTATAAGTTGAAAATTAAACTAAGAACACTTCAATTCATTTTGAACTGCAATGTGATGCAATTCACTTCCTTTGATCTACATTAGCAACATGTTTATGCTGCAACATCTAACATAGCTGCTGGAAATTTTGTGCAAGGGGCTAGCATGTTTGGAAAGTCAAATGGCACAGCACCTTGTCCTCATTTTGCAATGTACAAAGTCTGTTATAGCATTGGTTGTAGGTCCGATGACATCTTAACTGGCCTCAATTGGAGGTCCGACACTTCCGTTTTACGATGATATATTGCAATTTGTGCATTTGTAGCAATGAAAAGAGGAATACTCGTTAGCCACAGAATTGGAAAGTCTAGTAATGAGGCCTTAAAGTTTCTTATAGTTGGAGCAAGTACTACTGAAAGAATACTAAAATCACAAGATGAGAAGCTCAACTCATATGACACCGTACTTGGAGATGCTTTTGCTCCCAGCGCCGCCTTCTTTTTATCAAGATAACCAAGCTGCACAAGCCCTAGAATTTTGAAACCCAACATCATTAGACTCGACGTTAAGCATTAAAATCCTAACTGCTTCGCTAAATCAGCGGACAATGTCGCACTTCCTAATCCTAAGGTGTCATTTAACATAATTTTGGGTACCTCGATGCTAAGTCCTCACCTAAGTAGCATTGCAGTGTTGCTCAAGAAATCACACCCTAATTGGTATCCAGTTGCTATTAAATCTGCCATCATGACAAATGATAAAGTATTAAACCTCGCAAGCGTACCCATCGTTGAGAAAGGGCTTAAACCTCTGACCTCTTTGAAATTGGTGAAGGCCATGTCAACCCTGCAAAGGCAAATGACCCTGGGCTCGTATTCAACATAAAACAAGAGAATTACTTTCTTTACTTGTGCGGCTAATGACACGCTGATAAAGATAATCATGTAACAAATAGTTAAATGCTCAGAAGTCGGAGTCATACCAGAAGCACAACTCAATTACCTTTCCTTTGCTATTAAAGCAGGTCCCAACCAATTAAACTTTTGTTTTCTTCAAAAAACCTCAACAGTATGAGGGCAATTTTATTGATAACGAAAAAAAGGAAGTTAAACCTAGTCATGGGGTACGTAAACCTAACCCCTCATAATACAAGAATAAAAGGATAAAAAAAGTACATGAAAAAAGGGGAGGCATAAACCTTACCCCACTAGAATGAAAACAATAATGATACAAGGAAAAGAGGAGACATGAAACCTAATCCCTCTAAAGCCAAACCTATTGGTCTAGACCCAGCAAAACAGATCGAGCAACATCACAAGGTTAAGAAAATTAGACAAACCTATATGTTAAGATGCACATTAATTTGAGAACGAAAGCCAGGAAAATCAACATAGTCTGAAAACAAAGCAACACGAGCCACCAACAAAGGGGAGTCATGCCATCACAAATTTCATCAACCTATGCCAGTGTGTATCTTCTATCTATTCTTTTCCATCAATAAAACATGATAAGAAAAATAAGATAAATTAAGCTACGATCAAATAAAAACGATAAGTTGTAATACAGAGAAGACAACCCCATGCTCAGGTAGTACTTGTAATGTCCAACTCTGCAAGCTTATACGATCAAATAAAGCACTTGCCGTTTAGCTCCAGAGTTAAGTTTTTGTCCTCAGGTAGTCTGGCCTAAGTTCACAACGTAGTACTTTCACAAAAGGTGCATCATCAGTTCACCACAAGATCATCCCTCATTTGGCGACGAAGGAGTGCCCCATCCTCCGGGTACATGGAAAGGCAAGTGTGAGTTCATTGAGACAACATGCAATAACAAGGTTATTTGGTGCAAGAAATTTCATTGGCGCAGGCAAATGCATACCTAATCCAGAACCTCCAATTGACCAAGATGGCGATGGGGGCGACACGTCTAGCACAACTGTAGGAAATTTCCTACATGGTGCCAGCGTGTTTAGAGAGGCCAGTGGCACAGCTACTGGCATGGCTCGTCATGCTCACTTGGCAATGTACAAAGTCTGTGAGTTTGATTGTTCTGAAGGTTATGTTTTGGCTGCAATGGATGTTGTGGTTGAGGATGGAGTGGACGTGATATCCCTCTCACTTGGCTGTCCCACAATTCCTTTCTATGAGGATGTGATTGCAAGCTGCATTTGGAGCAACTCAAAAGGGAGTTTTTGTCAGCTCTGCAGCTGGAAACTCTGGTCTTGAACCCGGTTCTTTGTCAAATGAGCCTTCATGGATTCTCACAGTTGGAACAATAACAACCGACATAATATTAAACATAAACTCACAACCTACAGCCACAATCTTGTCCAATGGCAACAGAGACGCCCTTGATCCCGAGATCGTATCCTTTTCATCAAGAGGGCCAAACACTATAAGCCACGAAATTCTGCAACCTAACATCATTGGACCTAGTGTTGACATCCTGGCAACATGGCTTGAATCAGTAGACAACTCCACACTTCCTACTCCTAAGGCAACATTTAACATAATTTCGGGTACCTCAACTTTAACTCTTCACCTAGGTGAAATCGCAACCTTGCTCAAGAAGTCACACCCTGATTAGTCATCAAATCCACCATCATGACAACTGCGAATGTTCTAAATCTTGCAGACAGGCCCGTTGTTGATTAATGGAACAAAACTGGGAATATCTTTGCAATTGGTGCAGGATATGTTAACACTTCGAAAGCAAATGGTCTGGGGTTCAACCACAATCTACAACCAAAGCACTATATTCATACTCATGTGGCTTGAATTACACCAAAAAATAGATAACCAACATCCCCCAAGAAACAGTGAACTGCTCTCAAATCGGCACCATAGAAGAAACACAATTGAATTATTCATCATTTTTTATCATTGTAGATTGGATAAAATGCAAACCAAGTCTGTGCTTTACACAAAGACTATAAGGAATGTTGGCCCGAGTAATTCAGCTTACAACTCGGATCATTTACAAGATATATAATAAATTTATATAAATCCGCTTAGGCCCCTGCCCGCCGCCCAACTAGCGCCTAACTTTTTTTAGAACCTTGTTGTGAATACAACAAGTAACATACAATAATACTACTGTAGCAATACAAAAGCGAATCCAAATTTGGCTAGAATGTGTATGCAAGACGGGGAGACGAGGTGGGAGTGTTATCCCCATCCCCGTGACAAGAACTTACCTGAAACCAAGCTAGTGAGGAATAAGGAAAACTGGCATCCTTAATTGTAATTACTCCTTAAATATGCAGTTCAATTTGTTTGTTGATCATTAATCCACTCAACGTAGGATAATGCAATGCAATCCGCATAAAGGAAGTTTTTAACATTGGCACTCAAAAATCCTAAGACGTGACTCATAAGAAATAATCTAACCGGTACTAACTCATTAAGACGAGTGAGGTCTGCAACTACATCTTAATTTAGTGATATTTCTCTTATGAAAGAATCCTAAAGTCCAAATCCTTCCTTCCTTTCATCAAAATACAACAAAATCTCAAAATTTTCCAATGAAAGCAAAAAGAAGTGATGAAAATGTTAGAAATACTTGTAATGCACAAAAAAAAATAAAAATAAAGAATTGAACGCAAGTTGAGGAGTTCAAAAACAAATGATAATTCACTAAAAAAAGCGGAAAAAGTGAATAACGAGTCTTAACATCTACGGTCCCACTGAAAAGTCCGTCGTGTACAATCGGGCTAAATGGCCAAATCCCAAAAATTTCCCGACTAACTTATGAAAGAGATTTTTCAGTATAATCGGTACACGGGATAGTACATCACGTGTTACTATACAAATGATAAGATATGTGTGCTAAAAAGTTAATAAGTTAAAAAATAAAGTTTCTCACCACTCTTATTAAAACACGTGGTATACCACTTGTGTTCTCGTCACGACTAAAAATTTCTCAGCTTATGGGGACAGCTTGTTTATTTTTTATTTTATTCCATCTTGAAATTACAAGCACGAAGATAGAGCCAGATAAGAGAGTCATAACCAAGAAAGAATGTTAACTACTAATCAATCCAAAATCCAGGTATTAAGAAGAACAATAAACCAAGTTGACACCAGACAAACATAGCACCTCCAAAATCTAGACAAACAAATATTGGTATTATTTAATTTACATAAGATCCTTCGCTACATTGGTATAACTGAAACGATTAGCGAGTATTACCAAGTTCTGTATTTTAATTCCAAAAATCGTGCATTTTTAGACTCTTATGCTCAGCCTCATTTGGCGTCCCCTTAGTTAATCAACTCACAACAAGCATACCTTAACCTCGAGGGTCATTGTCAGATCGGTACAAGAAATGCCGGCGAAAGTTCCTTCAAACCCCGCGTTTCATCTCCATCTCTTTCTGTGTAGCTACTATATATATAGGTTCTCTAATAGCAGACTAACACAAATCACTTCCGCTTTCGGGTTCTTCTCAATCGAAAGATGGAAGGCAAAAGGTTTGTGGCTTTCCTTCTTGGCTTGAGTTTCGCGTTATACTTATCAATAGGAGTTGCTCATGAAGATGCAGCGCTAGAATCACTACCTGAGACAGATGACGAAAATATAAACACGCAAACTTATATTGTGTGGGTAAACAAACCAGTGCAGAAGTTCCTTTTTTCAAGATCTCATCAAGATTTGGAGAGTTGGTACCACACATTTTTGCCGACAACTATATCAAGCTCAAACAAGATGGTGAATTCACGGATGGTTCATGTATACCGCAATGTGGCCACCGGGTTTGCAGCAAAGCTCACTCCGGAGGAAGTAAAGGCCATGGAAAAGAAGGAGGGGTTTGTGTCCGCTCATCCAGAGCGAATTCTACCTCTGCACACGACTCACAGTCCTAACTTCTTGGGATTGAACCAAGGACTGGGAGTATGGAAAGAAGCAAACTACGGTAAAGGTGTAATAATCGGAGTTCTTGATACTGGAATAACACCTGATCATCCATCATTTAGCGATGAAGGAATGCCCCCTCCTCCAGCAAAATGGAAAGGCAAGTGTGACTTTAATGGAACAGTGTGCAATAACAAGCTTATTGGGGCAAGAAATTTCCAAGGCGGGAAAAGTATAGGAGCTCCCCCAGTTGACGATGAAGGTCATGGCACACACACGTCCAGCACAGCTGGAGGAAATTTTGTCAAAGGTGTCAGCGTCTTTGGTCAGGCCTATGGCACAGCATCGGGCATGGCACCTTACGCACATGTGGCAATGTACAAGGTCTGCGGGGAGGAGGGCTGTTCTGAAAGTGACATCTTAGCTGCAATGGATACTGCTGTCGAAGATGGTGTGGACGTGCTTTCCCTCTCACTTGGAGGTCCATCATTTCCTTTCTATGCTGATGGGATTGCAATTGGTGCATTTGGAGCAATTCAAAAGGGAATCTTTGTCAGTTGTTCAGCTGGAAACTCTGGTCCTTTCTATGGTAGTTTATCAAACGAGGCGCCGTGGATTCTCACAGTTGGAGCAAGCACCATTGACAGAAGCATAAGAGCAGTAGCAAAGCTAGGAAATGGGGGAGAATACAACGGTGAATCATTATTCCAGCCTAAAGATTTTGGTTCAGAGTTATTACCTATGGTGTATGCAGGCGCAAATGGCAAGGAATCATCTAGATTCTGCTCTTCCGGATCACTTGAGAATGTTGAAGGGGCAATAGTGGTGTGTGAGAGAGGTGGAGGAATAGGAAGAATCGACAAAGGGGCAGAAGTGAAAAGAGCTGGTGGAGCTGCCATGATTCTCGTGAATGCAGTGACTGATGGTGATAGCACCTTAGCTGACCCCCATGTGCTTCCCGCAACGCATGTGGGTTATGCCGCAGGTGTGAGAATCAAAGCCTACTTAAACTCCACCTCCAGTCCTGCAGCCACAATCTTGTTCAAAGGAACTATCATCGGAGATAAACTTGCTCCCAAAATCACTTCTTTTTCATCAAGGGGACCGAATCTGGAAAGCCCTGGAATTTTGAAGCCCGACATCGTTGGTCCCGGTGTTAGCATCCTAGCGGCGTGGCCCATTTCAGTGGACAATGCCACGGATTCTAACGGAACATTTAACATGATTTCAGGTACCTCAATGTCATGCCCACACCTGAGCGGCATTGCAGCCTTGCTCAAGAGTTCCCACCCCGACTGGTCACCGGCTGCCATTAAGTCTGCAATTATGACAACAGCGGGAGTAAATAACCTTGGAGGAAAGCCCATTGTTGATGAGACACTTAAGCCGGCAGACATCTTTGCCACTGGTGCAGGCCATGTTAACCCTTACAAAGCAAATGACCCTGGGCTCATCTACGACACAAAACCAGCTGATTACATTCCTTACTTGTGTGGATTGAACTACACAAACGAACAGATACAAGTCATCACCCAACAAACAGTAAACTGCTCTGAAGTAGAAAGCATACCAGAAGCACAGCTAAACTATCCCTCATTTTCTATTATAGTTGGGTCATCTGATGAGTCTAAGTCTCAGTACTATACAAGGACAGTGAAGAATGTTGGCTCGGCTAACTCAACTTACATGTTGGATCTTAATGTACCACGTCAAATGGGAATGAGTGTGAATCCTGAGGTGCTCACATTCACAGAGGTTAACCAGGAGATTACGTTCCAAGTGGAGTTTCTCGCAGAAGACGGCGCTGGAAAGGATGGAGTTCCGTTTGCTCAGGGATATTTGAGATGGGTTTCTGATAAGCATTCTGTTAGTAGTCCAATATCAGTCATCTTTGACACCGGCTCGGATGGAAAATGAACATGCAATAGTTATCACAAGCTTGCAGACAGTAACAGAAGCAAACAGAGCCCAAAATAAGAGCAATTCAAATCCTTGAACATTTTGATTTTTTAGCGTTGTCATTGTCAACTTGAAAGTTGAAAAAAAAAATAAAAGGTTGTTATATTCTGAATCGAATATCGTCTACCTAACAAACTTAACAATATTGCATTCACTATTCTAATAAATAAAATTTTAGCACAAACAAGCCATTAAAATAACAAACTACATGGATAATTATGTTAGAAGTCTCTAATGTGCGCGATGAAACATGATAATAATGTTCATTCCAATAAGAAAGGGAATTGTTATTAGCACTTCAAAAATCGCATTCTACACTCCAAACTTTCTATATTAGGAAAGAAAAATACACTTGTGAGGAGTGTAGAATGAGATTTTTGGAGTGCCAATAACACTTCCCATAAGAAAATGTCTAGTGAGATTAATATCACTAGACCGTAATATTAAATGGCTCTATAAGTTAGTCTTAACATATAAATAAAGAAAACCAAGTAGCCATGAACGAGGTTCTAAAAGATGTTAAGCGCTAGTCGGGCGGCGGGTTGGGGCTTAGCGCCTAGGCAGACTAAATAGATTTAAGTAAGTCTATTGTATTTCGTGTAAATAAATGTCTGTTTATACTTAAAATATATATAATTTTATCATAAACTAGAAAATAGAATGACATATATATTATGAAGTATTGGAACATAATAAAAATATATATGGAGAGCAAACATATAATGTGTGTTTATTTAAGTGTTCAATAAATCTCTTACAATTTATTGGAAGCAATAAAATGCAAAATGAAAGTTATCTATTTTCTATCTAAGTGAGTTGCAACCTAGGCAGTCTAGGTGGGTCTGGGTAGGCTAAGCGGGTGCCTAGGCAGTCTATGCATGCACCTCAACATGTCTAGGCAGGCGCCTCAATAGGTTTTCTTAATTTTCAAACACTTAGCTAATCGGGATAATGGCCAGTCACCTACCACCTAGGTGGGAATTTTTACAATAGTGGCCATGAATTTATGTCCCATCCCATCCCAAAGTTCCTAACCGTATGAGTATTAGCCATGATCACGGATCAGCTTGGTGGCCGACAAATACCCACCCTCAGATCTTGGAGGTGGGAAGTGGGACAAAAAAGATGAAAAAAATACAGGTTGAAGATGATGACCCAACAAATTTGGCTATTATGGTAATTTTCAAGGGCCTATTTTCAGTTTTTGCCCCAAGGCTCCAATTAGCCAGGGCCAGCCCTCGTTCCTATATAGGCCGAATCAATTTAATTATGCTTTGGTTTGGTTCGATTTGGTCCAAGATTTATATTGTTGAAACTGATCCGAACAACTGTAATTTGTATAGTTTAAAGAAATTAAGCATTTGGCTAATTTGAAATCCATGCAGAGTTTTTCTTTGATACAATAATATCAAGGTAGGCGTTGCGTTAAACCACACAATGAGCTAGCCATTAAGTATCGCACTCATAATTGATGAGAGTCGAACTTGAAATCTTCTACTTATACATTGAGAAAAATGAGAAAAATATCATTACATTGTACTGCTAATGGTACGTCCACCATGAGAAATATAAAAACAAATTTTGAAACACATGCCACAATATAATAATGTGATAATAACAAAAAAAAAAGGATAAAAGGATAAAAAAAAAAAATATATATATATATATATATATAATTCTAATTACTAAACCGATCAAAATTGAATATCGATGACACATCGATCAAATATAAACCCATATGGTGATCAAAGATTGACAGTATAGCTATCAGATGTTAACAACATACTAAAAGATTTGATCATCTCAGTAATTCAAATTTAAAAATCATCATTTTATTCCACCTAGGACGTGGTTTCATTAATCCAAGCCTTTAATTTTCTCACATTTTGAAATTATTCTTGCAAAAAATCATTCAAATTCAAAATACATGATACGTAAGTGTTTTATTTAAAAGGAAAATGCTAACGAGACCAATTTAGTAGACTACATGTAAATCACCTCCCTAATAGCGGTATGACATACTTATATTTGTAGACGTTATCTTTATTAGAGAAGTGGGTCTACGATTTACTAAATATGATCTCCCTAAGGTCACCCTATTCAGAATATTTTGTTTGTCTATTTTACTTTGCATAACTCCAAAAATAAAGCTTTGACTGTTGTATTCATGTGGTCTGCTCCTACCAAGTGACTATTTAGGTCGTCCCAGTCAATAGGCTCAACTATTTGAGCCTGTTTGTTTGACATTCATGTTAAATATAACTCATGTTTGAGTGGATATTTAATGCTGGGCTTATTACAATTGGAGGCCCAAGAACTCAAAAAGTAGAAGGAAGATTGGGCTGGGGCAGTTGGCAGCCTAGGAAGAATTAAAAATTATTTTTTCCAAGAAATAGGCAGCAAGCCTATGTGGAAAATGATAGGTGACAGAGGGTAGCTCACCCCCAGCAAAAAGTACTTTTTTGGGTATAGATGGGTAAATAGCAAAAGCAGATGGTGACTCACCATACTTTAGAGGCCATCCCCAAAAAGAGAGGCTTGGACAGTTGGGCTAGAGAGTCTATAAAAGCAACGAAGGACACAAGGAAGAATGACGCTTAACCAATCAATCAAAAGACATCCAACTTTGCACTTCAACAAGCAAGAAACCAGAAAGCTTTAGTTTGTTCAAACTTTACCCTTTTTAGTCGCAGGTCCACCATAGAAAGCCATTTTTTGTCAAGTTTTAGAAGCTCTACTACATTTCCCCTGTGTTGTAGTATCGAATCCCTTTAGTAAACCCGATTTATACTTCATTCTCCAAAGATTACAACCCCTATAAAACACAAAGAGAAGTGGTTGCAAGAAGACGAACCTTGCCTGACAAGGTCATAATCTTGCCCGAGTCTCTTTTGTTTGTACTTACATAAAGTAGATCTGTTATTTTATGCATCTTTCATTGTATCCTATATCATTTTCTACTACTTTTCGTTCAAAGTTTCATCTATGATTAATCTTGCTAAACTAATTAACCTTACTTCTTTAGTATTAACCGTAACCAAAGAAATAATTTGAAGGGCCCTAAACTCTAGACCTGGCATTCGTGTCGTGTTTCTCGTGTTCGTGTCGTTTTCGTGTCATACCTGATAGCTTAACGGGTCGTGTCGTGTAATACCTGTTAAAGTAAACAGGTAATATGACCCGACCCGAAATCAACCCGTTAATATTATCAGGTAATATGACCCGACCCGTTACCTGTTAAGAAAATTATATTTTAAATCAATAAAAATGAAAAGAAAAACATAATTTGACCCAAAAAAATGTAAAACATAATACTAAATTAGTATATACATACTAAATTTCGGAGTTGACCCCTTAATGAACGTTGTAAAGTTTTTCATTACGTGTGATTACATTTTTCACACTTATTATTATTAATTTTTCACTCAAATAAATAACATTGTTCATGAGATTTTTAAAAATCTACACTTATTTATACTTTCATCAAGTATAACATAAGATTTTATGGTATCCACTAGTGTAAATATTTTAAATTGAAGATCGAATTCATTCATTGTATTCATATAGGGTCAATGAGTGTAGCTGTAAAAAATCATCAAAATCGGAGTTAAAATAACCGTTAAATCGTAATTTTTCGTTTATAACCATCGAAAAGTTTTGTCTCATTACTTGATCTCTGAATGTTTGTTTTTTTTGCAATTTTTGGCGTATGCGATCTCGAAGCATATATAAACAAGTTTGACGGTTGGATCGTTGAAATTAGTTTCGTAGGATGCGTATCCCATCAAAACGATAGATTCACTAACACTTAAGAGTTTATTTATACTTTCATCAAGTATAACATAAGATTTTGTGGTATCCACTAGTGTAAATATTTTAAATTGAAGATCGAATTCATTCATTGTATTCATTTAGGGTCAAGGAGTGTAGCTGTAAAAAATCATCAAAATCGGAGTTACAATAACCGTTAAATCGTGATTTTTCATTTATAACCATCGAAAAGTTTTGTCTCATTACTTGATGTCTGAATGTTTGTTTTTTGCAATTTTTGGCGTATGCGATCTCGAAGCATATATAAACAAGTTTGACGGTTGGATCGTTGAAATTAGTTTTCGTAGGATGCATATCACATCAAAACGATAGATTCACTAACACTTAAGAGTTTATTTATACTTTCATCAAGTATAACATAAGATTTTGTGGTATCCACTAGTGTAAATATTTTAAATTAAAGATCGAATTCATTCATTGTATTTGTTTAGGGTCAAGGAGTGTAGCTGTAAAAAATCATCAAAATTGGAGTTAAAATAACCGTTAAATCGTGATTTTTCGTTTATAACCATCGAAAAGTTTTGTCTCATTACTTGATCTCTGAATGTTTGGTTTTTGCAATTTTTGGCGTATGCGATCTCGAAGCATATATAAACAAGTTTGACGGTTAGATCATTGAAATTAGTTTCATAGGATGCATATCACATCAAAACGATAGATTCACTAACACTTAAGAGTTTATTTATACTTTCATCAAGTATAACATAAGATTTTGTGGTATCCACCAGTGTAAATATTTTAAATTGAAGATCGAATCCATTCATTGTATTTGTTTAGGTTCAAGGAGTATAGTTGTAAAAAATCATCAAAATCGGAGTTAAAATAATCGTTAAATCGTGATTTTTTGTTTATAACCGTCGAAAAGTTTTGTCTTATTACTTGATCTCTGAATGTTTGTTTTTTGCAATTTTTGGCGTATGCGATCTTGAAGCATATATAAACAAGTTTGACGGTTGGATCGTTGAAATTAGTTTCTAAGATGTGTATCCCATCAAAACAATAGATTCACTAACACTTAAGAGTTTATTTATACTTTCATCAAGTATAACATAAGATTTTGTGGTATCCATTAGTGTAAATATTTTAAATTGAAGATCAAATTCATTCATTGTATTTATATAAGGTCA